CTCATTATTGTGAGTAAAGATCAAAACCAAATGTGCGTGCATGTGTATGAGCTCAGCAAAGGTGTGGAGGGATAGGGCAGCTGACACTGTCCAACTTCCATCTGTGTCCCTGTACGTTAGTAAGGTAAAGGAACAACTACATTTTAAATTACTCAGACTGAATTCTGCTAGGAAATCACATCTCATAAAAACTACTTCTCTCTGATCTTGGGTAAGACAGTTTCTGGAGGCCACAAACATTTATCATGACACATTATTTATAAATTACTTTAATTCTAGTCCTGCATCTCACCATTCTCAACTTCTTATTTATCCAATCAAGAGACAGTAGTAGTCATCTTTGTGCCAAATACATCAGCCTGGATAGAATAAGCCTGTGACTGACTCACCTTGTCCCGCAAATGATGTTCTGCAGCTTCAATATTCAGTGGATCATCAAAATTCAAAAGATCCTGAGAAAGAGAGAAATTCACAGTTAACACCAGAAAGAATCTTTTTCTGCTGTTAAAGTCTTCACTTCATGAAGCAGCAACAGAATCTAATTAGCAAATGGCAGACCAACTTGGAGAGTTGAGAATTCCATTAAGAACTCAGTTCTTTTGATGTAAAAATACTGAACATGTGGGTATTTTTTTCAAAACGGTGATTAACGATTGACTGAAAGAAGTCAGGGGTATGTTTACATATGATTGTCCAAAGTTTGGTGAAAACAGAGGAAACAGCAATCACATTGTTTTCTATGCTATTTTTGATAACTGGAGAATGAAAACCACTCTCATTATGAGCACTTCCAAATAAAAATCCCATTCTTTTTCACAAAAATTAATTTTCCTCTTTTAATGTACCTTATGATTAACAGCTTGCCCTTGTGAGCCTGCGGTTTCTACGTGGGCCTTCGTGGACTTCCCTTCACTCACAAGCATCCCACTCCCAGCCGGCAGGGACAGCGCCTGGAACCTGACCGAATGCAGGGCAGTGTCCTAGGACCAGCCTCAGGAGAGAGCACCAGCCTGTCTCCGCCTTAGACAAGCACTGGGGTGGCTGATCCCCTCGCTCCCCACCCCCAGCAAGCACCCTGGATTTCAGACCAGAGGCATGTTGACTTTTTACTGTCCATCCCTCTTCCTGAACACCAGGGCAGTGAGACTGGTTCTTGTCATGAGTCACTGCTCTCCAAAGCATGCCATAGGATGGCTTATTGTCTAGACCATATTTTTCTTTGGGAATTATGTTAAATTCTGGGACTGTGTTCCTGGATTTGGAGATAAATATAGCTGTGACCAATAATATGTTACAAATATAGCAAAGAAAATTGGCAAATCTCTATGGTAATTGCATTGGAAAATCAGATGCCAAGTCGTAGAAAAAGGCATAAATACAAGCATATATTATATGAGATACCCAGTGTATATAAAGACTCTACCAGACATACAAAATTCCTTATCTTCTTTACTGTATATATGTCTGACCTACAATGAATATATTGGTCAGAATAACCATTACCTATTTAATTAGCAAGTCTAATTGCTAATTGGCTCTTTATAATTTAAAAGGGTTGGAACACTTGAAGATAGGGAGCTAATGTGGCTGCACCAGATTTCTCAAAAAAAAAAACAAAACAAAACTCCAAGGAGCCAGTGTTTATTTTTTCCTTTCATTAATTCCTCTGCAGCAAGTAGCCAGTCAAAATCTGTTCACAGCCCAGGAACCTGGGGCAGACATGGTGATTCCAGAAAGGATCCATCGTGGAGGCTGATGACAATGACGATGTGTGGGCCCTGGAAGGGCACCTGTCCTGTTTGGCTCTCTCAACCAAAACTGGAGATGCGAAGACTCAGCATTACAATGAAGCACAAGCTACGCAGATTTTAAATCATGCTCGGCCTTCACGGCTCCAGAAGTAAAACTTCACTCACTTTAATAAAAAAGCCAAAAACCAAATCACAACAAAGTGACTGAGACCAGCAGAAAACGGTCCAGATGGCTCAAGTCCAGGTCTCCATCAGGCATGAGCTTCCTTGGGGACCCAGGGGCTCCTGAAACCACTGGAAATGTTTTGTTTCTTTGCCCACCCGGTAACACCAGGTCAGAAGGCAAAGGTGGGCAGGGAATCACGGTTTAGTTTGAGGCTCTGCTATTTTTCCTCTTGGTGAAGATAAGAACAAGAACGCTGTGTCCTCGGATGACAGGGCCACCAGTGTGAGTGAGCTGTGAGGGCACGCCTACTGTGGGCTGCATCCGGGTCTTGGTGGACTATCCAAGGTGTGCTCATTTTCACGGAGGCACCTTAGGTTTTATCAAAAGAAGCAAAACCTTTCTTTAGAGACAGATGCCTGAATCAAAAAATAAAAATTCAAAGGAATAAATAATTCTATCTTAAAAATAATCCAATTAACAGCTTTTAGCCTCTTCCTGTCCCAGAGCCATTGTGAGATGTGCTGCTTCCTGAGAGCAGCGAATGCCAGTAGCTCATCGCTGACAAGGAGACAGCTCCGGGGTTCTGGGTTTGTGAAAAGCCGTCAAGGCTGGTGAGCACACAGTCATCCACCCAAACCAGGACACCTGGGAGCAAACAGGGCCACTGACTGAGCTGGCTGATGAGACCACAGGCACAGACACAGGTGGGCCACTCCACTGGGAGGGGCTAAAGCAAATGGAACCACTTTGTCCCCCAGAAGGCAGAGGCAGCCACCCCAAGGGGCAGAAGTGGGGCTCCTGTGCCCCTGTTCCCGACAGGCTCCCCATAAGCCACTCCAAAGCTCCCTAGGTCCTGCCTCACTGTTCTGTTCTTAAAGGAGGGTGTGTGTATACTTTGTTTTTTTAACATGTTTTTGTGTTATCCTTAAGGTGATGTTTAAAACCAGGAGTCAGGGAAATTGATAAAAACTTTATACTTACAGTAAACAAAGAGTTTAATCCCCAAACAACATCCTGAAATAAGAAAGAAAAAAGAAAACATGTTTTAGGCTGTTGTGTATCTAAAGCCTTTTAAACCCATGGCAAGCAATGTGCCTTGTACTGTATAAAAAATCTGTCTTCGGCATGTGTTGTTTTTTTCAAGTCAGAAAATTAAAACCACCTCTCCTCAAGTACAACAACAAACTCTGGGATATTCAAACAGATGAGCAATCACAGGTCGTGAATATAAAGTCAAAGAGAACATCAACTGCCCTCCAGTTAGAGCCGGGGCCCAGTGAACCCAATCCTGTGCCTCGACAGAGCCCGCAGGTCAGCGTTTGCACAGAGAGTGCGGCCTTAAGTCACCTCTTACCCACCATCACCAATATGGTTCAGCCTTCTAAAGAGTCACCTTTAAAATAAAATCTGTTTCTAACATCTACTGCCTCTTGGGGTCGTAGATAAGCTCATTACTCACTCCCAGACCCACCCTGAGTATTCTCAATAATTTTCCTTTAGTTACTTTGGGAATCAAGGGAGACTAACATTTCAAGGATCAGATTTTCATTAAATGAAATTAAAAACCAATGTCCTATCTGTGCTGGCCCGCCATCCGTGACTCAGTCATTCTCTGCCTTCCTGTTCGTCAGCTCAAGCCTTGTCTTTTCCAGGCCTGTTCTCACGCTCCCCTTGTGCTCTCTGCTAGGTGGTCGCTTCATGTGCTCCTCTCTGATTTCTCTCGCCCATCCATCAGTCCATCTACCCTCCCATCCCTGACCTCCTGCTGTGAGCCTGGCCTGGGGCTGGAGCCGGAGCCCTGTCGGTGGAGGGGGTCAGACAGATGGGCAGGTCAGCACCCCATCTATGGAAAGTGTCCCCCAGAGCACCCACCCTGGGAGGAGAGGCTCCACAGAGGAAGTGGCAGCCATCTGAGTGGGCATGCAGGGGAGCAGGAGCCGGTCAGGGAGGGGGCTGTGGGAGGGAAGCACCTTCCAGGCAGAGGCACAGCCTGTGCAGAGGCTACGTCCCGAGTGGACAGGACTTGTCTAGGGTGTGGCAAGGGGCTGGAGAGAAGGCCAGGTGGGATGCCCAAGGTGGCAGAGGCTCGGGAGGTGCTGGGTCATGACTGCAGTCTGCGGTGTCCTGATACTGGACCAGAGCTAAAACCCTTTCCTGCGGGGTTCCCCAGGGTCCTTGCTTATTGATGGAGACCCAACACCTGACAGTCCTCTCTGGCCACAGGGAGTGGTACTGGTCTGCATGTCAGTTTGGGCCCTCTGGTGGCCAGAAGGGCTCAAGACATCCCTGTTAAAAGAGTGGTGGCCATGAAGTTTCCCACAGTGGATGGCAGTTTGGCTCTAATGCCGGCAGTTTGGGCTCCTGTCCCTGGTTCTGGAATGGTGCCTGGTACTGGCCAAGAAGGACACTCCTCTGATCCAGACTGACTAGGGTCAGTGACTGGCTCAGCAGCCCCATGCAGCGGGCGGTGGGGAGAGGAGGGGGCAGCCTGTGCCTGACCACCAGTGTGGACTAGACAGGCAAGGACACGCGTTGCTCTTCCAGGAGGCTGGTGAGCGAGGGAGAGGACTGCAGCGGAGGACCTCTGATCAAAAGGCATAGGCCCTACCTTCAGTGTTCTTGTGGGAGCCCAGCCAGTGCCGTCAATCGAGTGTTCCCTCAGTAAACTGCAAAACACAAACACAGAGCCATTAGCAAGGAGCAGCTGGCAGTGACCAGAGCCACGGGTGTGTGCACAAGCACGAGTCCTGTCGGCACGTGTTTTGTCTTTACTCCATACAGAAGATCTACATTTTAGGTCTTTTTCTCTGTGGCTTCTCAGTGTCCTGTCTCCCTGAAGAGGGCCTTCTCCAACTCCAAGGATATACACACATTTAATTATAATGTCTCGTATCATTTCTACCTATCTATTGTACACAAAGATCTTTAATCCTTGACATTGAAGTTATAAGGAGAGGAAAAGCATGCTTAAAAGAGCACACAAGGAGGTCAGGCATGGTGGCTCATGCCTGTAATCCTAGCACCATGGGAGGCTGAGGTTGGAGGATTGTTTGAGGCCAGGAGTTCAAGACCAGCCTGAGCAAGAGCAAAAACACAGAAAAATTAGCTGGGTGTGGCAGTGCATGCCTGTACTCCTAGCTACTCGGGAGGCTGAGGCAGCAGGATCACTCAAGGCCAGTGCACTCTAGCCTGGGCGATAGTGTGAGACTCTGTCTCAAAGAAACAAAAACAAAAAAGCACACAAAGAACATTTGTCAATTTAATGTTCAGAAAATGACAAGAGCAACACAAATGACAACAGGAATAACTGACGCTTAGAGCTTACTATGTATGTCAGGCACCATCCTACGTGCTGGGTCATGAAACTCACTGAATGCCCACAACAACCTCTGAAGGAAGTGCCACCATTTCCGTGTCCCACAAAGGAGGAAACCAAGGCACAGAGAAGACATGCCCAAGGGCATGCACTTGGTAAACACTGTGTTCTTCCAACCCAGGCAGCTCACTTGGAGCTGGTGTTCTGAAATGCTGCGGATGAAGGTGAACAATGTGAGCTCCTTGCACGTGACATTTTAATAGCTCGCTTTTATTAATACAAGTTCAAAAGAAAAAACTTAAGGATAAAAGCAGATTAATGCAAAATTCTGGATATGTCACTCCTTGGGTAGGAGGCTCAGGGCAGGCGACCCCGGCTTGAGAGGTACGGTGAGTTCTGAGCGTCGTTTCTTAACTGTTCTAGCAGCTGTAAGTGCACATTTTATACCCTCGTATATAATAAATGATTACCCTAAACTTTGAAAAATTACAATTTATTGCCAAGCTTCCTTCTGGAGATAAAAATTGTGTTTGTTGAATTATTTTATCATGCTGTGGCTTTGATCTGTACATAAAAGTCCATAAGCTAATATGTCAGTATCAGGCTTTACAGGCCGTGATTGTTACCAGTGACAAATGTTTTTGGATTAGAGTATGTTCAAATTCGCATATGTCGATTTAGATCAGGAGAAAATATAAACATTTAGAATTTGAGTCAAAGCTACAATTGTCTATGAAGACCAGTTAGAAAAAGTATAACCTTAAATTGACCATTAAAGTTTACTTTGAGCCTTAAAAAGAAAAATCACATACCCAACCAACTGGGTGGATGTCTTTCTATCCTTAGAGGTATCAGTGACTCGTGGATCTGAAATTTCTACAACTTTTGAATAAATTTTTAGGAACCGTCTGTCAAATCCTAGTGGCTTTTATGGTCCAATGAAAGATTTTTTTACTAGGATGGGGGAATTATTTCTGACCTAGATCATCCTTTTCTTTTATAGACCTTAATGCAATCTTTAGTTACATACTTGTTCTTTACTTGTCTGATACCTGTCTCACCCACCAGACAGCAAGCTCCATAACAGCAGGGAATGCAAATTGCTCTCCAAGATAGATACCTGTGCCCCATCAACGGTAGCGGACTGAAGCAAGGAAGGAAGGAAGCTCAGGTTAATAGCAGACTTGGCAGCATCCTCCTGAGCTTACTGTCAACAGCACAGCCAGAGCAGGAGGGCCGCCACCTGGGGGCAGGTAACTGGGGAGCGAGTGCCACCAGGCAGGCTGTGCCCAGCATCTGGGCAGCCCCTGGGCAGCAGTGAAGCACTCCAGGGATGCGGTGTCCCCTGTCGTGGTAGAGGTTCCAGCCTGGCCTTAGCAGAGGGTAGTCCCAGTGGAAGTTCAGGTGACAGAGACACTCAGCCACCAGGGAGGTTACTAAGCAAGGAGACAGAAGGCACCCCGGGAACTATACCGGAAGTGTGCACTTTGGAAAAAAGCTGAAGTGCAACCACTGAGCTCCTGACTTTGGGCCCTTCAATCCCACAGACACGGAACCTCTGACTCTGAACCAGAGCAGCGTGAGGGCCCCTGCTGGGACCAGGCAGCCTGTGAGTGAAGCGCAGAAAGACACAGGGCAGAGAGCCAGGGAAACTCTCTCTAAAAGAGGGAAGTGCTCCTGTGCACCAGAAATGCAGAGTAAGCTCCATGGACCATCAGGAACCAGAGTCCTGCTGTGGGAAGAATTCGACTGGATGTTGCCAGGAAGGCGATCGCCACAAACCTGAGGTGTGGCTGGGCTTTTCTTTCCCTTTATTCAGGAGATGCTACGAGTCAGCTGTATATTAAGCCACGACTGGACACTGTCTGCTTTTTCACTAAGAATAAGGTGGTCCTTGTACATACAGATGGCACATCATTTCCTTAGATGAGATCCCCAGAAGTGCAGCTGGCAAGTTCAGGGTAAGGACGAGTTGAAGGGGGACCACATGGCTGAAGGACCAATAGCAGGTATACAGATAACACGTGTTCTGCTGGGGAAAGTGCCTGCTCTGTTTCCTTCATACATACTCACACACACACACACCACCAAGTATCTACTTTTGTATCCGCCAATCTGAGAAGAGGGAAGCAGCACCTTCCTGCGTCTTTCTCTGATTGCCAATGAGAGTGAACGCCCTCCTCTGATGTTTACTGTTCACTGTCCACCTGTGTTTCTCCCTTTATGCGTCACCTTTTTGTAGCCAATGCTACATTTTTCCAGAGATGTCCATCTTTATCACAATGATTGGTAAAGACTATTCTCAAAGGATGCTAGCTGATCATTTCTCTTTCAATTTTGTGTTTTTGTAGTTTTAATTTGTTATTTTTTGATTTTCATTTTTTTGAGACAGTCTCACTCTGTTGTCCTGAGTAGAGTGCCGTAGTATCAGCCTAGCTCACAGAAACCTCAAACTCTTGGGTTCAAGTAATCCTCCTGCCTCAGCCTCCCGAGTAGCTGGGACTACAGGCGCGTGTCAGGACACCCAACTAATTGTTTTCTATTTTTAGTGGAGATGGGGTCTCGCTCTTGCTGAGGCTGGCCTCGAATTCCTGAGTTCAAGTGATCCTCCCACTTCAGCCTCCCAGAGTGCTAGGATTACAGGCCTGACCACTGCACCCAGCCTGTATTTTTAATTTGTATGTGGTCAAACCTGACAATAGTTTCCTCTAAGGTGTCTGGCTCTTTTATCAGGTCAATATCTGCTAATTCCTATCATGCTTTGCTAATAATCTGATTTCCCAGAAGACAGTAAAAGTGACAAGAGGCCATCCTACTCTGGACTCAATTCTGACAGAGGCAGGGGAAGAGGAGACAGAGAAGAGGAGTGTGGGGAGCCCATCAGAGCTCGAGCCAGCATGTCTTCAGGGTGGCTGTGGGGATCGGATCGGGGCCAGACGCATTTATAACCTGCAACCAAAGATGGCAGAATTTTAATGTCTCAATACTTAAAGGACACTTCAAAGGGAAGATGCCTTTAAAAAAAGGTGTGCTTGTGTAAAATGTATTTTTAACTACCTATAAAAATAGGCTGATATGAAAGAAAGGGAATAGCATATACAAAAATAAAACTGGGCTGGGCACAGTGGCTCATCCCTATAATCCTGGGACTTTGGGAGGCTAACATGGGAAGATCGCTTGAGGCCAGGAGTTCCAGACCAACCTGGGCAACCTGGCAAGATGCTGTCTCTATGAAAAATTTAAAAAATTAGCCAGGCATGGTGGCATGTGCCTGTAGTCCCAGCTATTCGGGAGGCTGAGTCAGGAGGCTCACTTCAGCCCAGGGGTTGGAGGTTGCAGTGAGCTATAAGGCCACTGCACTCCAGCCTAAGTGACAGAGCAAGATCCTGTCTCTAAAAAGATAGATAGATAGATAGATAAAATGGGTACTAAGTGCACTTTTGAGAAAGAAAAAGGGATCCTGATGTAAGACTTTCCCGCAGTGAGGAGCAGCCACAGCTTATACATTTCCTTTCAAAGTGACTAATGTTACCAAGAGAAGGAGCAAGAGAAAAAAGAGACAGGAGCTGAGCATGAGAACTGACTTAGACAGCTGCATTTCACGTTGAAAGTAAGAGAAATGTACTAAGAAACACTTCAGGCCACTTTCTAAATTGTGGCACATACAGGTGAAATCACTGGCCCTAAGTCCCATAGCCAGGGCTGGGATTGGGTACAAAGCCAGGTGGTCTGGCACCAGAGCACCTACACTAAACATCACTGCCTTACTAGAGAAAGGCACAAGACACATTCAAACAAAGCCCAAATGCTAAATTTATTTAAAAAACAAACAAACCAATCCATACATCTTCAGTAACGTTAGGAGGGGGAATCACTGATCCCTGATGCTGTGCCATTAAAGGGTGGGACACATGGGTCACAGCAGACTTGAAGCTCTGGGAAGCTGCCCTGCTCCTGAAGTGCTCAACACACCTCAAGACTGCTTTGGTAAAGAGAGGACATCTTAAATATATGTGCCCAAGGTCTTCTTAAGCCTGTCATCTACATTTTTTCTCCTGGCTGTCTATCAATAATCCTATTTTCCCTATTTCGCCACATGGAGGGAAGGGGTGCTCGCATGTAAATAGAAGGGGAAAGGTAAGGGCCCCAGAGGGTCCCTCCTGGGTGGCTGAACAGGCTGTGCTGAGAACTGGTGGGGCGTGGCCAGAGGCCAGTGGGAGCACGCGGGTGTGGAGGCACAGCAAGGGCAGGGGTTTGGGGGCAAGCAGGCAACTACAGCTACTTCTCAGTTGAGCCCAGGCCTTTCCTAATCTTGGCCAAGCCTCAAAATCTTCTCTCAGAGGAGATGTATTGTCCAATGCGGCCAGGTGTGGTAGCTCATGCCCGTAATCCTAGCACTTTGGGAGGCTCAGGGAGCAGGATCACTTGAGGCCAGGAGTTTGAAACCAGCCTGAGCAATAGTGAGACCCCAACTCTACAAAAATAAAAAAATTAGCCATGTGTGGTGGTGTACTACTCGGGTGGCTGAGGCAGGAGGATCGCTTGAGCCCAGGAGTTTGAGGTTGCGGTAAGCTATGATGATGGCACTGCACTCCAGCTTGAGCAACAAAGTAAGACCTTGACTCAAAAACAAAAAACGAAAACAAAACAAAAGCCCAGTGCTCACACACAACGCTCACAAATGCAGAAGAATGGAAAGATGAGAAACTCACCTTAGACAAATTTCACCTGTCTCTGTGATGTTGGGGTGCCAAATCCTGGTCAAGCATTTCACTTTGGGAGGCTGCAACACAGAATAAGAGAGAGATCACACCGATAGTTTGTCCAAATCCCGTTTCCAGGCCAAAGCCTGCCCACATCCCCTACCTAGATGCTTGTTTCATGGCTTGCGCAGCCTGCAGTCTGACTCACCAAACACATGTTCAGCTTGAATACTGACCGGCTTGCTGCCCTCATACAGGAACGTACTTGTACCCTGTGTCCACAAGTGCTAGTCTCACCAGGAAAGTCTGCCTGTGAACCTCAGAGCATCTCTTCAAGCCCCTGTCCTGCCAGCTCATGGTGCTAGTCAGGGCTGTGCAAGAGGAGCCTGCAGTGCACTCTACGGAAGATTTCTGTACCCTCCAGGCCCAAATTCCAACCAGGAGCTCCCAGATTCCTTTGCACTAAGTTACTGAAAAGTGTGGCTAAAAGTTATTGCTACTTGCAAGAACAGCCTGTTCCTTTATTGGATGTTTTTAAAGATGCTATGACGATAGGATTTTCCTAGATGAAAATCTTAGTCCACTTTATACTTGAAGTAGGGAGAAAGAATGAAAATGAGTGCATGGGGA